AATAACAAAACATTTTCTATAGAATCAATAGTGCTTTGTTACCATAATGTAAGCCTATTTTTAAAAATGTGGGCATCCTCTCACTTAAAGCTATCTTTACTAGCTTTCTTCTAGTTCCTGAAGGACATATAAGTTTTCTCCCAGAGCCTCTATACACGTCAGCCCCTCTGTTTCCCAGCACTGGTCACACAGTCAGCTCCTTCTCATCCTTTAGGCCTTATAGAGAGGGCTTTCTAGCCACACTCTGTTAAGGTGCCTCTCTCACACAACATCTTAGATCATTATACCTTTTATTGCACTTATTAAAACCTGAAATGGGTTTACTTTAGTCTTCCATTTCAGTATAACGTATGGTCTATGATGATAAAACCTAGTTGGCCTTGGTCACAGTTACAGCCTCAAGATTTATCACAATTATCTGTCGAACACTAAGTAGATGTTGAAAAAAATGTTTTAAAAGGATACAGGGTTGGAGAGATGGCCCGGCAGTTAAAAACAACTGCTATTCTTGCAGAGGACCCAGATTCCATTCCCAGCACCTACAGGGTTGCTTAGAACCATATGTAACTCCAGTGTCAGGATATCTGACAGTATTTTCTAACCTTGAGGGTAGTAGTCACGCAAGTGGTACACACGCATACACAGAAAAACATTCATACACATAAAATAAAAATAAACAAAATATTTTTAAAACATAAGGACAGTTGTTCAATTTCAATTTAGTGTCTTAATATTTTGATATATATATTAGTTATTATTCCCAGTTCTATTTTACTACAAAATTGATTTGCATGGCCACATTTTTGCCATTTGCTTATTCACTCATCATCAAAAAAATACTTAAGATTGTTATGTGCAAGTCATTTGTGTGTGTATAACGAAATGAGTAAGCTAGCTATGTATTATGTGTGTGTGCACAGGCATGTCAAGGATAGAGGTTCACGTCATGTAGCTCCCTCAATCATTCTCCACCTTATTTTTTGAGATAGGGTCTCTCAGTGAACCTGGAATTCACTGATTTACCTAGGCTGGCTGGCCAGTGAACATCAGGGATCCACCTGTCCTGGCCTCCTCAGCACCAGGATCACAGACTTGACTGATGCTGCTGTACCTGGCTTTTACATGGGTGCTAGGGATCCAAACCAAGTGATCAGGCTTAGGCAGCATGCAATTTGCCAACTGAGTTATCTTCCCAGCCAATAAGCTGTATTCTTTTAGGGAAAACAAAATGATCTCTTCACATAAAACAACCCAAAGTCTTAAAGTTAAATATGATATTAAAATGAAGACTAAAAGATGAGTCCTGTGGGGAAAAATAATCTATTTCATCTACCAAAAAAGAAAATCAAACTAATTAGGGACTGGTTTTTCTTAGGGAATCCACATTGACTCATAGTGATCACATCCTTTTCCTCTTTTTAATTTTTATTTTTTTAAATTTTATGTGTATGAGTGTTATGCTTGCATGTATGTAAATGCATCACGTGTGTGCAATGCCTGTGGAGGTCAGAAGAGGCACTGGATTCTCTGGACCTGGAGTTACAGGTGGTTCTTAGCCACCATGTGGGTGTTGGGACTCAAACAGGGTCGTCTGCAAGAACAGCTGGCACTGTAAGCCACTGAGTCATCTCTACAGCCCACATCTTTCTTTCTTCTATTTTCAATACATGCTTTAAATATAAAATACTGTAATAAGTTGTAATTTATTTGTCCCAGGACCTCAAAAATGGGCTTTTTACAATGAGTGTAGTTAAAGAAAAAATATTAAAAATATGATTGTGACTTGTATTTAACCCTAATACTTAATTTTGATTCAAATATTTAAAAAGTATGAGAATACTGAATCTTTACTGAAAGGGCTATAAATGGAAAACGACTGACAATCTCTTCAGTGTAGGCAGGTAGACCACCTAAATGTAAGGAAGAGCTTTGTAGTAGCTAGAGCTGTCTATCTACCAATGGAGTGGGCTGCACTGCAAATCAGGAAGCCCTCTATGAAAATCTTTAGACAGCTAGCAGGCAATTTTTTCAAGATGGAATTATTGATTATATCAGTACCTTCAAACTATGCTGAATGCCCCTGGACCCTTGAGTCATGGAGACTGAACCCAGGGCCTGAGGCATGATAGTGTGAGAAACATCAATTAGATAGGCATCCTGTAAGAAATCCTTGCAGGTAGGCTGGAGATGCCGCTCAGTTGGTTGCATGCTTGCTAGTATGCAAGAAGCCCTGGGTTCGACCCTCAGCACCTCAGTAGCTAGGTATAGTGGCACACACTTGTAATCCCAGTAGTCTGGAGATGGAAACAAGAGGATGATCAACATTCAGCTACATAATGAGTTTGAGTCCCGCCTAGGCTACATGAAACCCTGTCTTAAAAAAAGAGAAAAGAAAAGATGGAGAGAGGGGAGAAAGGAAATTTCTGCAGTTGACAGTTTTCAAATTTACCCATTTTCCTCCTCTCCTGTATGTTAACTAGGCATTCATATCAAACTGCTAACTCTTCAGCAATATAAAAAAAGGCGTTAACCAGAAATCTTTAGATCAAAGACCTGAGGGTTGTTTTTTTTTTAATGTATTACTCTTCTATCTTCCTAAATTAAAGCAATTTAAAATTTACTTTTTACTGAAACACATTTGAATGCTCATTTCAAACAAATTACAAAAAATTTATTTCCAGCCATTTCCCACATTAATTTTCTGGTTTCACTTTTTTTTTTTTGCACAACCTGATAATGAAATGTGTAACAAATTATAGTTGATCACACATTTGCAGTTCCAAATTTATTCTACCAGCTGGTAACAAACAAAACAAACATAAAAGTTACTTTGAGTGGAGCTGGGGGAAGCACAGCTAGAGGAGATTAGTGTCTGTAAGTAATTACCACACCTTCTGGTGACCTGGCCAAAACGTCTGTGGTGGATAATCACAAAAAATGGGGACAGAAATGCACTGACCATTGCTATGCTTTCGCAAATATTCTAGCTTTCTCTTTCCAAGGGCAATGAAACATTTTGGTTTAGAATCATGTTACTTCTCAAAAGATAATTTTCAGATTTTCAAGCCATCATTCCAACTTAACACATACAGTAGATTCCTGAGTTCACTATGCCTCTGCTTCTTCCCAAATGTGAGTGTCATAGTTTCTATCCCTGTTGCTGTGATAAAACACTCTGATAAAAGCAACTAGGGGAGAGGGCTTGATTTTAGCTCACAGTTCAAGCTACAGGCCATCATGGTAGGAAAGTCAATGTAGCAGGAGCTTGAAGTTGCTGGTCCAATGCATCCACAATCAGAAGACAACAAAGAATGCAGGCATGGTAGTGCTCAGCTGCTTTCTCTATTTTATACAGTCCAGGATTCCCTGCCCAGGGAATGGTGCTGTCCACGGTGGGCAGATCTTCCCACCTCAATTAATGTAATTAAGACAATCCCCCATAAACATGTCCAGTGGTCTGTTTCCCAGGTGATTCTAGATTCCACCCAATTGACGATTACATTGTCTCATAAATAAAAAAAAGACTTTAGAATAAACTCCTTAATTTTATATATGATAAAACTGACATTTGAAAAAGTTAAGGGAATGTTAAGGCTACAACACTAGCTGGAAGGTGGAAGCAGAAGCCAGAGAAAACACTGGCTTCCTGCTTGCACGCATATTCTCTCACACCCAGCTACCAATGAAAGACCAGACAGGAAGGGACAGGTAAGTGTACTGACATCAACAATCCCATCTCTGATAAATATACTATCTAAGAAGAAATCAAGCAATTTTTTAGATACTACTACATACGTAAACATTTTCTTCTTCATGAAAGTTATCTGAAACTACAGATTCTCTTGGGTACATTTCAGAACTTGCTTCCTTGCTGGTAGTAATAGTCAACAACTTATCAATCATCTAAAAGACTGAGTGCTTGATACTATTGCAATCAATCACAGCAAGTGCATGCACTTGACCAGGAAGGGACAGAGGACATTTAGGAGACAGAGGGCTTCAAGGAGGCACTTAAATACATTTCTTGTTCAGTCAATTACTCTGAAAGCACACAATGAAGAGTAAATTAGTTGAGTGGATCTTTCGGTAACTGCTGAAGCTGTTTAGAAATGTTAAGCAAAACCTCTTTTCAAAGTTTATTCTCTTGTTTATTCACACTAGAGAACAGCAAGTGCAAAAACCAACAGAGATGATGCTCAGTAAAAAGAGTTTTTATAGTAAGTAATTAAGTTGGGAAAGCTGAAAAAGGATGTCTTATTTCAGTGTCAAGATGAACAGGAATCCAAAATTTGTTTTAAAATTTTTTTTTCAAAATAACTACAAAACTGAAAGTCTGTAAATAAGAATCTAAGGAACACTTCACTTTTCTCCCCCCACCCCCCTCTGACTTCTGAAATACAGTGCAACCTTCTACCATCTGTGATTTTAAAGCAGAAACAGTAATGAACATATGGGCTTTCTCTATCAAGCAGCTGTAGTGTAGTTAAAGTTATAATAATTGTCTTTCTGTAAGATAAATTTACATTAAAAACCTGGTCAGTCAGAAATAAATAGCTTATACTCAAAGCCTTCCAAAACAAAATTTAAAAATTCACAACCATCTATGAAAAATTACAGAGATGTAGAAGAAATCCTTAAATCTTATGCTTTTATGTTCAAGATTAGGTAGATATAAGAGATGATGCCCAAATCAGTTTTTTCTACTCCAAAGTCCATAGCTTATGTTTCCTTCTTGATCAAAATGTAGCAACATTAGATGGTTTCAGATATGTATCTATAAAAGCCAGGAACTAAAGTCTTGAAAGCTAACAGTACAAATCCACTTTCTGTTGACTTGCTGAACTTTGAACAACAAGCCCACTTATTTATGATGAAAATCTCTACTTGCATGACATATAAATTCCCACTTTAACAACAAATTATTCATAATGAGTTGAAGTAAACTGAAAGGAGTTCACAGCACATTCTGATCCACTATATGAAAAACAGTGACTACTTACCTTTATCTGGGTGGTTCAAAATCATAATTCTCTTGTGTGCTGTCCTAATCTTGGCCTTGCCAGCAGATGAGCTGTAAACAAATTAATAAATAGTGTGAAATGCAGAGTATAGATTAATGATTTATGTGTTTCAAGAAATTAAAAACTAATGAGAATTTCACCATCTTGTGGACAAATACAAAACTACAGCTTTTCATTGTAACCATCAAAATAAATCAAGGTTCAATGCTGCATTGCATTTTTCTTCAGTCCTCTGTAACATCAGTCTCTATTTTCAGATAAGAAACATTTAAATTAAGACAAAGGTTGGAGATTTAGCTCAGAAACAAATACCTTACATAGCAAACAAAAGACCCTAGGTTCAGTATCTAGCACCAAATAGAAAACAAACAATAAAAAAATAACCTGCCAAACTCCACATATATAGGCCCAGAGAGTCACAGTATGGTAGTCTACGAAGATTGAAAACTTATGCTTCTAAAGGGGCAGCATATGTTGTGAAACAGAGAAGTATTTGAATTCTAGAACTAGACTGCTGGATCTGAGGTCAGTCTTGCTATTTAGCATTGGGCAGTCCTGCTAAGTTTCAATCTCTGTGTTCTGTTTCCTCGCTGTAGGGCCTAACAACATATTCTTCACAGAGCATCAATGCCTGCAAAGCACTAGGACAGTGTCCGGCATGTTCCCTAATAACTTGCTTTTGTTATCTTTCAACAGTCAATCTCAAAACTCCTTATAGTTAGTTCATAGTTTACTTGGTTTGTAAGAAATTTGTGGGGAAACTGACTGTGAGAAGCTATATGAAGGAGCCTATATAAAGGAAACAGTTAAAATAAGCCTAAAATTAGTATAGTAAAACTAATTTATTCAAAATTCCAAGTATTTCTCATCAGTACATTTTCTGAGCATGAAAAAAAAAAAAAAAGTAACACTAACAGTAAACTCTATTATTGCTACCTAAATGCTACACTATCCTATTTAAGCTTACTAGATGGGTATGGTGATAGTCTACTTAAGAGTAGGAAGGAAGCTGTGAAGCTCAAAGTCATTGGCTGAAAGTAGGTATTTTAGAGCTATTCAGATCCAAGTTCAAAAATCCTGATTCTCCCACACTTTAGCTGTGACACTTTTCTTACACACTTAAGTGCTGAGTCACGCTTTTCTCATATGTGATATGCCCATAATAGTTTACCTCTAAAGATTAAAGACTGTCTATGAAAATACATTATATTTTTTTACTTTCAGAGAATCAAATACAAACAATCTAACATTTCTCAAATGACTCAGAAGCACTGAGTATCAATTAAATACAAAGAAACTCTGAAGTCTATAGAGCTTGGCTTATCCTTCTTCTAAAGGGCTCAGAATGCTGCCTAAGATTTTCTGTCTGTTTAAACAATGCCTCCCTCTTGCTATCAGTTATCAGTCCTTGAGTCTACTAGTTAGTACTCCAATTTCTAGTTCTTGCCAATTACTTGCTATCCTAACCCCCCTGCAGGTAAATAACAGATCACCAAGCATGTTAAAAGACCCTGTTAAGGGCTTGACATAACAACACATGCCTATACTCAGAGCACTCAGGAGGATGAAGCAGGAAGACTGGAACTCAAAGGACTATGTAGCAAGACTACCTCAAAAGATAACACCTCCCTCAAAAACACAGTTAATGGTTAAATGACACATAAGATAGCCTTTCATACATAAAATAAACAAATCCTTTAATATAAACACTGGGGTACCATTTTACTTTTTGGCTTGTAGGTAGTTCCCAGATAGACACTGTTTGATTACAAAGACTACTGAATTTTGAGAAAGTAAAGTAACAATCAGCTACTTACAAGAGCTAAAGAGCACTATTTTGTTTAATTGCTTATTAAGAAACAAAAAACATACGACACTGAAAAATCTCAGCACAATTCAGTTTCTTCTGGCTAATCTACATTTATTAGTCCCCTTTTTGGTGCTCTCCAGCATTGATATGTTAGTTACGTTTTCTTGTTGTTCTGCATACATTTGACATGTCTCCTTAAGTAGACTCTAAATTACTTATGGGCAGAAGCTTTGACCTATCTTAAAATACCATATGGGACTGAATATGCAGTGGGTACTTGATATATTTTATAGCATCTTCCAAAAGAAAATAACTGTAAAAGGTAAACTCCTTAAATGAACAAAGGCTCTAGTCTAATAAATATTAACATTATGAAAGATTACTGTATTACAAAAATTACTAACTTAAAAAAGGAAGCACTTCGAAAGTCTTACCTCATACGGTTACTCACTAGATAATGAAGATATCAATTCAGTAAAACTCAAATTTCCATTTTACATTTTTTGAGGATACATGAAATGGCTGGTTCTTATTCTGGATATTAAGTTTTAATTGAACACATAAAACAAAGTCTGAAAATTGCTTCAGTTAAAATTATCCTTGAAAATCAATTATATTTTCTACTTTGAAAAACCAGAAGCATGGTTTTGAGTTTATATGTAGAACAAAGAATTCTGTGCATAGAGGTCTGCCACCACCCACCAGACTAAAGTAAAAAACACGAGAGGAAAGTTCATGTACATAAGTACAGCAACTTTCTGCCATTAAGATAATTTTCAGTCTTAATGGTGAGCTTGGAGGATAAAGGAAGATTCTCTTTTACATGTAGAGTGTATTCCCTTTTTGTTTTTGCAACATTAAGTTTCTAAGTCCTTGGTCCATTTTAATATTTGTTTGTTGCCTAGATCAGGAATTTCAAACTGCTACTGGAATACATTTGGCACAGGAGGGTGGAATGGGGGAGGGTTAGAAAGTGGAGAATGTGAAGCTGGGTGGTATTCTCCAACCTGTAGCCAATGGAGCCAATAATGGTAAGCTAACTAATATGGTACCTTTGCTTAATATTACCCTCTATTTTCTTTGATAAAGAAAACTCCCATCTCATAGATTTAGATAAAGGATCAAGCTAAAATAAGCTCCAGTCTTTCACTATAATATTAATTAATCAAAATTAATTAATTTAGTGAGAGAGAGAGACAGAGAGACAGAGAGACAGAGACAGCATGCATGTGGAGGTCAGAGGACAACTTTGGGAGTTAGCACTTTCTTTCCACTATGTGGGTGTCCAGGGATTGGATCACATTCAGGCTATCAGGTTTGGTGGCAGGTGCCTTTACTCCGGATCATCTTGACAAGCCAGAGTCTTTTTTTTTTAAACAAAAGCAGATCATAAAAATAACAAAATGTTTGGGTTTAAAGACTGTACTGATCTTGGAGGCTGGAGAGATGGCTCAGCAGTCAAGAGCACTGGCTATTCTTGCAGAAGACCCAGATTTGAATCCCAGCACTCACATGGTGATGGCTAACAAATGTCTGTAACTTCACTTCCAGCCCTCTTCTGTCCTCTGCAGGCACTGCATGACATGGGTACACTTATACATATGCAGGCATAACACTCATATACATGAAAAGTAAAAAGATTCTGCTGATGTGTAAGAGATTAAAACTTTTGTCAATATACGAGTTTAATTAATTCTTCTGCTTAATCACACTGATTAAATCACCAGATTTGTTATAGATGATATTTTGTAAATAACTCTCAAAAATTTGACTATATCAAGCACATCTATAATACCAGAGTTTGGAATGTGGAAGCAGGAGGATCCAGAGTTCTACATCAATGTGTGTTACATAGTGAGACCTTGTCTCAAAAATCTAAGGGATGAGGATCTAGTTTAGTGGTAGAGTGCCTGTCTAGTATGTGCAAGGTCCTAGGTTCAATCCCTAGCACTGAACAAATAAAAATAAAAACAAACAAAAAACCTTGATGCTCTAAGGACAATAAAAGAAACAACTAGTAAATCCACAGTAGGAGAAAACACTCTTAACATTAAATGTTGAATGATAATTGCTCAGCAACCATACAATATCATTAACGTTTTCCCTTATAATGTCTAAAATTAGACAATATATTTGGTAAGATAGAAGGCAAGTAAAATAATCCATGGTAGATACCAAATTGCAGAAGTTGAAAAGAATTGTGAAACACAATCTGCATTATAATTTAAAGTATGAACATCAGATTTTAAAAGTGGTTCAGAGAGAATTTAGTATCACGAGATATTTTTTGATTGCTTTCAACTGTAGGTATTCAAATATAATAGCTTTGTTAAGGAGCAAGGAACATAAATAATTTTAATTAATCTAGACCTCAAGTTTTTAAAGCAAAAATATGGTTTCATCTCTTCTGGCTTTTATTTTAATTTTAAATATATGTACAAACTTAAAGTAACTCCCCTCCCCACTTTTGAAGACAACCTTGACCACTAACAAAAACACTTAGGCAGCACTTACCTTACACCTAAAATAAGACTAGCTTCTCGCCTACTCATTTTCTGTTCAAATCCTCCTTTGTAGTAGGATGAAAGGCTCTGCACAGGGAAGAGAGAGCAAGACATAGTTAGTTCCATGCATGAGGTAGCATGACCTCAGGCCATCACATAGCTGCAGTGAGAGTAATGTGTTTTACTAGAAATCGACTTGAAAATGCAGGGGGAAAGAACACAATGATCCCTTTTAAGAAACTCTAACCAAGATGAACATAAAAAAAGTTAGCAATTTTATTCAAAGACCGGGGTTCGAATCCCAGCACCCACATGGCAGCTAACAACTGTCCATAACTCCAGTTCCAGGGGATCCGACAGCCTCTTCTGTCCTCCGTGGGCATTGCACGACATGGGTGCACTTACCTACGTGTAGGCATAATACTCATAAAATGAAAATAAAAAATATTTTAAAAAATGCATTTTTTTTCACTGAGATATAACTGAAGGTATATACAGAGGATCTGTAGAAGCAAAATGCCAATACTGTTTCTAAGCACTGAAATACTCTTCTTGTTGGAATACCTTGACCAAGTCATTTACACTGATATAGCAGATAGCTTTTTGCCTACTAGACTGGCTGACAGAGAAAAGGAGAGGATGTGATAACAGACAGGCAAGACAAGCGAGGCTAGGAAACTGAGATAACTTGTCATGGTGGATGGACAGGCGTGAACTAGGAAGTAAGGAGAATTAGAAAAGTAATAGGGGCTGGTGGCAAAAGATAAGTGATGGAAAGAGGATTTTATTCTAAGTGTAATGAGAAACCAGAGCACTAGAACCCAACTTGACTTTGTTTTGAAAGGATTAATCTGAGCTTGAAGATCTCCCTGGGTGTGGTGGCGCATGCCTTTAGTCCCAGTACTTGGGAGGCAGAGGCAGGTGAGTTTGAGGCCAGCCTGGTCTACATAGCAAGTTCCAGACCAGCTGGGGCATCAGGGAAACTGTCTTTCTCTTGTATAAAGCTCATACGGATTGTATTAAAGAATAGCCATTGTTAATGACCAATCTGGTAATCTGCAAAACAAACTGTAGAACAATTATAGTATATACAGCAAAAAAAGACAACAACAACAACAACAGAGACAAACTAACAAGAAGCATAGAGGGCAGGGTCAGAAGTCTAGCATCTTCCTAATAGGAATTTCAGAAGCAGAGATTTTAGGGAGAAAAGAAAACAATTAAAGAAAACATATAAGAAGTATTGCAGCATAGAAGAGATGCTTTTTAAATTAAGTTACAGCAAACTATTCTTATAGGCTATCAATAATAAAGAGAAAATCCTGAAAACTTTCATAAGTTAAAAACCAAAAAAGTAGTACTAAAAAATTAAAACGCTAAATCAAGCAATGAATGAATGAACACTAAACAAAAGACTGTCTAGATGAAAAATAGGAGCAGCAGAAAGGCTGGCATGAGACACAGGAATGAGCGGGCAGACCAAGGCTGACTCCTGGCAGACATCTGCACTTCTACACTGGCTCCACTAGACTTCAAGGAGCAGGAGTCATAACTAATAGTGAGAACAACGCAAAAACCCTTCTAACAGAGAAATATTTAAAACATTTACCATCCGTACATACCATATAAACAGTTACTCTAAAAAAAAATAAGAGAAAGAAAAAACAGAGATTTAAGAACAAGAGGCAAAACTCAGATGAAGCAAAGTGTAGAGTGCGATAAAGAGAAAACCCTCTGGAACTTGAGCCTGGGCATTATTGCTCTGTGCATGAGACATTTAGCCTCACATCACTGTAGTTCCTATTTTTTAGTAGTATTTGGTTCAAATACTAGTACTTACAAAATCAAACATTGTAAATGCTGTGCTTAAGAAGGGTGACATTTGGGATTCATTAGTGAAAAGACAAACTATTCACAGATTTCATTTTTCAGTTCCCTGGAGAGATTAGTATACAATTATTCTTAAAAACTTGTATCTTCACTGAGGCATAATTAAGATGATAATAATTAAGATATTCTAAAATGTTTCATGACAAACTATAATTATATTTTGTTCTTAAAAATAAAAAGAGGGTCTGAAGAGGTGGCTCAGGGGTTAAGAGCACTTGATGTTTTTCCAGAGGACCTGGGTTCAACTCCCAGCACCCACTTGACAGCTCTGCCATCCTCTTCTGGCCTTCATGGGCACTACATACATACCAGTAACCATACCAGCAATCAAAACACTTGTACAAATAAAAATAAATAAATCACTTTAAAAAAAGGAAAAGGGGGTGAACCTCACCGCCCTCTCCTTAAAGAGAGGCAGGTTCCAGGCTAAGCATGCCCAGTATCATCCACCCTGCCTCTTTGTGAGCCTCTATTGAGCAGCGGTGCAGTGGAAGTGTTCTCACTGTCTTGTTCTCTCTTCTTTTACAATATTAAATACAGTTGCTCTTCAAAGCTTGGGAATTTTATATTTATGCTATATATATATATATACACACACACACACACACACAAACACACACATATATATATTTACTGAAAATCTCCACCTCCACAACAGAAGCAAAGTAATTCCTAAAATTGTTTTGAAATATGGAAAGCCAGATGGCAACATTCACTTACAGAGGCCTGACACAATTTCCATCACCAATCACCATTCGCTCTGCTGTGGCTCATGTTAGTCTATACTCTGAGCAGTCATGTTGCCCCACGGCTCAAAATTATTCATAGTTGGAGAAAAATGCGAGGTGCTGTCAGAGTCTATTAGACTCCCCGGGCTCTTGGGTCCAAGCTAGACTATTCTCTTCATAGACAGGACTGGGATTACCCTCGCTGCTAACCTTTTTCCCACCTTGGGACCTCTGCCATGCTCCTACTGCGCAGAAAGTGCTTTCTTCTTCAGATGTTCAAGTGCTTCATCTTCTGAGAGACCTTGTGTGGCCTATAATACAAGGATTCCTCTCTGCTCTTATTCTTTTCTTTCTTACTCTGATTTGGTTTACTGAAAAGCACTCCAACACTTTTAGAAATGATGTATCTCATTTCACTTTTTATTATCATTCCCTCTCAAACTGCTGCGAAGCAAGTTGGTCTATTCCAGATCTCTCAGTGCTTGAGGGTGCCTTCTTGTATAGTCTTCAGCGCTTGCAAACTGCAGCTCACACTGTATCTTTGCACATAATTACTTTCAATAACTCTCCATCTATATATTTACCAGAATATCTATAATCTTGATGGATGAATGTATAGCCCTAGAGGATTTCTTGGTTGGAAATTTCAATATTATGTTTGAGATGTTTCAAATTTCAAGATGAAATCAATTCAGTGTAGGCTCTACCAAAGCAAGAGCTGCATCAGTAAATGATAAGCACTCACTAGATATTCATTGAGTAAATCAGCAGGAATTAGAAAAGAAAAATTAAGACCATGCATTGGTGGCGCATGCCTGTAATCCCAACACTTGGTATTTGAGGCAGGAGGATCAAGAGAGTTCAAAGCCAACCTGAGCTACATAGTGAGATCCTGCCTCAAGAAACAAAAACCTGGGGCTAGAGAGATGGCTTAGCAGTTAATAGCACTGGTTGCCCTCTCGAAGAGGACTAAGGTTGCGTTTCCAGCACCCACATGGAAGCTAACAACTGTAACTCCAGTTCCAGGGGATCTGGCGCCCTCTTTTGGTCTCTATGCATTGTACACATGTGGCATACTTAACATGCATGCAGGCAAACACATTTCATAAACATAATAAAAATACATAAAAATTAAAAAAATGAACCCCAAACAGGCTAGGTTTGATGACCCACACTTATAATCTCAGCAATCCCGGCATTTGAGAGATAGAAGCAGGAAATTAAGAGTTCAAGACCAGCCCGAGTTACATAAGACCCTGCTTAAAAAAATAAAACAACAGGGCTGGGGAGATGGCTCAGCAGTTAAGAACACTGACTGCTCTTGCAGAGGACCCAGGTTTGATTCCCAGAACCCACATGGCGGCTACAAACCGTCCTTAACTCCAGTTCCAGGGGTCTCCGAAGCCCTCTTCTGACCGCTGCAGCACTGCACGACACGGGTGCACTCACAGACATGCAGGCAATACACTCATCCACGTAAAATAAAAATAATAAATAAAATATTAAAAAAAAAACAACAAAAAGATGGAAAATAAGTTACGTAAAAATTAATTCCACTAACCAGAGTATATATAATAGCTGTCAAAACCAGGAATAAGGTTTATATATAAATACAATAAGACTAAGAACCTTTAAATGAATTAGATAAAACATAAATGATATGAGGGAAATGAACTTCTACCAAGTTTGGGAAACCCAAGACATGTTCTGAGTTCCTTTCAAATACAACAAACTAAACTCAAAATGAGCTTTCTAATTACAGGTACCTTTAACTTACAGGAGACGAAATCTTCCTTGCTGTTTCTGTGATGACTTGTTCTAGGGGTTTCCAGATCTGAAATGCATAGCGACCTAAGTAGTAAAAGGAATAAAATACAAATACATTTTCCATAGTCAATATTAATACTTTTAAAGTTCTTGCCATATCATTTATTGATAGTTTATTTTACATATGCAATTTCAAATAAGTATTTCAAATTTACTAAAAAGGCCTATTTTTTAAAATTTGTAATTTACTAAATAGAGTTTGACTTTAATAGTTACAGTAAAACATGTATCAAGTTCTAGTTCATGATAATAAAATTAGAAATTTTCAATGTTTATTTGTATAATATCTTGCACTTATGCAATGTTAAAGATTATAATAACATCCTAATACTTTTTCTACAATAAACTGTATAAAACAAGTTCCTTTATATAAGACATTTATGATACTAAAATGGTTAATTTTAGTGCTTTCTATGGTGCTAATCACTTTGAAATAGATAGAAAACAGATACTACTTATGACACGAGTGCATTTAATAAGTAAGCTCTAAAGAAAGCAATTAATTACAGGTATAATATTTACCAAGGATGTTATCAACTTTTCTCACTTTGGACATCTACTCTCTCAAAAACTTATTTCAGTTTTCCCTTCCTTGAGATCCTAAGATTCAAACTCCTCTAGGTGTTGACAGGTAAGAATCTAGAGCAACCTAGATCCTAAATCTTTTTGAGAGCTTCACATAATAAAATATTACTAAGCTGTTGTATCTTCTGCACCCTAACCTGAACATGTGTTCTCCATTAGTGTCTTGTTCTGCGGGGCTTGACAGAAAACTGCCAGACACTATGAACTTAAATTCAAATCCAAACCACAAGCTTATTTGCAAATCAAGAATTCCACTGGGAAAGTCAAGAACTTAGATCTTGCCGAATAGTTTATCATTTGATTCTATAATTGTATAAAATGTAACGTTTAAATCACCTCAAAATTCTTCAGAACCACAATCAGGAAAAGTAACTGAATTCCTGCTTAGTGAAAAAAGCAAATAAAGGCTTCAAGAAAAAAGTGATATTTAAAGGTTAAAAATAAACTAGAAGATCTAATTCCAACAAATCAAAGTATAATTTCTCCTAAATTATTTCACTCAATTTTACTTGGCTCTGGAACAGATCTACTATTCTAATTTATAATATGAATTTGTCCTATATAGAGGGTACATACTCATTGTTTGAAAGACCAAGAAAAAAAATACATCTTAATTTAAAATAAAAATCATACATTTGAATTTATAATTGTGTCTATTCTATAATGCTGAAATTGTTTTATGCTTATCACAACTTGCCATATTTACTTTTAAAGTATTATATTTTTAACTTTTTAATAATTTATATTTTAAAGTATTATATTAGTTAACTATGGTTATAAAATCAGCACTGGCTAAAAGGCTAAAAGATCAAAAAGGTCTGAACCATTCATTGGTCTTCTTAATTTTAAAGTTCTGATTGTTTAAAATGAGAATTGTGTGAAACAAAATACCACACAGAACTAAAACGTGATTTATCACTCTCTTAAAACTTAACTTCATATAACCACAATGTAATGCAGCTTCACCTAAAGAAAAATGCAATTAACACAGTCAAATCCATAGACTTCACAAACAAAAAATTAAATACATGGTGTGATGGAGGGTTTTAATTGTCAATTTGACCAAATCAAGTGGGAAGAGAGTTTCTATGAAGGATTATCATAGATCAGGTTAGCCTGTGGGGGAATATTTTAATTATGTTAATTGATGTGGAAAGACTCACCCACTGTGGGTGGTACCATTCCCTAAGGCAAAAGATTTTGAACTGAAAGAGTGAGAGAGGGAGCTGAGCACAAGCACACACTCATTCATTCTCTCTCTGCCCCGTCCCTGTGGATGTGACCAGCTGATTCAAGTTCTTCGCACCTTGACTTCCCTGCTAAGATGAACTATAACCTGAATTGTGAGCTAAAATGAGCACTCCTCCCCTAAATTGTTTATCAGGGTATTTTATCATAGCAGCAGGAAATGAAACTAAAACATGGATATACTCTCAGATTAACATTTAGTTAAGGAATAGCTATGCAATTTAAAATTGTAAGTTAGGGGAAGGAGAGATGGCTCAGTGGTTAAGAACACTGGTTGTTCTTGCAGAACACCAGGGTTCAAATCCCAGCACCCACATGGCAGCTAACAACTGTCTATAACTCCAGTCCCAAGGGATCCAACAGTCTCTTCTGACCAATGCGGGCATTGCAGGACACGGATGCATTTACCTACATGCAGGCAATACATGCATACACATAAAATAAATACATAAAAAAAAAATTTTTAAGTTAAAAAAATTGTAAGATAATGACTGAATAAGTAATTTTAATATTTAAAACTACCTTTTCCTTTTTAAAAATTATTTTTAATTATGCATGTGTGTCTATGCATGCATATATGTGGTCTTTGTATACACATATATGTGCATGCAGGTGCTGTGGAGGTCACCAGATTCCCTGGATATGGAGTTACAGGTGGTTATGAACCACCCTATGTGGGTGCTGGGAATTGAATTTGGGTGCGCTGCAGGACAGTATGATCTCTTAATATCTGAGCCATTTCTCTAGCCCTTTTCTAATAAGGTAATTGTGGCAGTGAATAAAATTATCCTGAGTTTATAAACAAACAAAAAACTTAGAAGATCAACTAAGAGGTCAGGGAGCAACTATATTCATCAAAAGGAAATGACAGCTTGAAATATTTAAGTCCATATAAATATGAAAGTATAAAGGAACCTCTATCACTTGGGTTACATTAAAGATTTTAGGCTCTGAGAGATAGCTCAAGAAGTAAAAGTACCATGCTGTTCAAGGCAATAAATAATTTTTTTTTCTGTTTTTTATCTTTTATCATGGGCACATGCACGTCATGCACACACCTGCACGAGTGTTCATTCATGTGTGCATGAGCACAGGCATGAGTATGCCAGAGTGTGCATGCAGACATCAGAGGACAAGCTCGGGAGCTGGGCCTCACTTTCAATTCTTTGAGACAGGTCTCTGCTATTCACTGCTGCATTCGCCAGGCTAGCTGGCCCAGGAGCTTGCAGGGATTGTTTTCTTATCTCCCATCATACTGTAGGAGAGCTGGGATTGCATGTGCTACTGTGTCCAGCTGCATGTGTTCTAGGGAGCTAAACTAGGGTCATCAGACTTGCATGGCAAGTGTTTTACCTACTGACTCATCTCTTCAGTATAAGATTTCTTAATTGTTGTATACTATAAATCAAAGTTTTTTAAAAAAATGTCTAGATTATCAACTTTAAGTTTATCTAGGTTTTGTTCCATTTATTACTGCTCAGCAACTATACTCTGTAAATGGTGAGTAGAATGGGAGTGTACTGTCTGAAAACCAAAAACATACCTGCAAATGCAAGAGCTGCAACACCCAGTCCTACAGCTATCAGCCTCCTTCCCTGCGGAGGGAAAACACTGTCATTTATGGTCTTGCACACTGTGCTGTGAAAGTAAGTAATTTTAATAACAGGAATAATCACAGTAAATACATTGTCTTCAAATGCTACTATGAAGAACCCAGCTTAAGACCTCCAGTATCTAAGGGACTATATCTGCTGCTTGCGTTAGCACCTCATTTTCAGCAACTGAAAATAATTCTAGATTTTCACTTAATTTCTATGAGTTTTTCTATTCAAGTGTTTTCATCTTACCTATTGTTAAAATATTTTTCATAGAGTATTCTCAAGTTTGTCTTCCATAAAGATAAAAATCACTTATTTTCTCTGCAGTACTTTATGCTTACAATGTTCAATTGCACTTGGCTGTACTTAAAGTTTAAAAAAAATCTTAGATACATCTTTAAGAAATCAAATTCATAAAATTAATCAAAATAACAAATAATTTTTTAAAAATATTTATTATTTTTATTTTATGTGTGTGAGCGTATTGCCTGCATGTAAGCCAAGTGCACCCATATCATGCAGTGTGGTGGAGGTCAGAAGAGGGTTTCAGATTCCTCTGGAACTGGAGTTAAGGACAGTTTGTAGCTGCCATGTGGGTGCTGGGAATTGAACTCGGGTCCTCTGCAAGAGCAGTCAGTGCTCTTAACTGCTGAGCCATCTCTCTAGCCCCATAATGACAAATAATTTTAAAATGTGTTAATTTTCTATCCTTCTAGACCAGATAAAAGATTTTAAAACGAGAATCGTAAATTCAGAATTTCACAATTTAAAGTTATGAGCTAATTCTGATAAAAATCTATTTAAAATTGGTTATGTGCACATTTCATTCTAAGCTTTTCTCATTAATCATTCCTAGAAAGTACTTCAATCACAAGAAAAACAGGTTTGTGGCAGAGAACAATGGTTGTCCCCCAGTAACCTTAGGTCTCCTTGTCTTTTAGAGTTAGGAATTTCTATTTTTCAGTCAGACATTCATTCCAAATCCCTTAGATTTTTGATGGCTGTTAACTAAGTGTTGGCTTAGGGGTAGACAGGAGGGAAGGGTCCGGGGAGATAGGAAGGGGAAAGAAGGGGAGGAAGGGAACTAGCCTTCTGTCTGCTTCCACTGGCAGATAGGTACACACTCTGCCTGAAGTAGGCCTCTGTATAAGGAGGAACAATGAAATAAGAAAAGACTGTATTCCCCACAATCATGGAGTCACCCTGGCACTCCCAGACTGCCTCTATTACATGAATTAAAGTTTCATCTCTTGTCCCCATCCTCTGGCTCCAAAACACTGTCATCCGGACACAGCACAGCCACTGAGCCCATGAGCTCACTGCAGCTGTTGGTTGCTAGCTACACAGGATGAAGCCAACATCAGCCAGCATTCCAACAGGCAGCACTAACTGGATTAGGTGAGTTACAAGAGCAGGAAAACATATGAAGATGGATATGGTGGGGTTACCTGTGGGAGAGTGAGAAGTGAGAGGCTAGGGGTACACAAGATCAAGATACATTATTGATATGTATGAAATTGTCAAAAAATAAATAAAAGACATTCTACAACAAAATAAAATGGGTTTTAAAATTTAATAAAATTGATTTTCAAAATCTAAAGATTAATATATAAATATATATTTAAGTGAGGCCCCTGGGTGACTTGCCTGGTTTGCAGTCTTTGGTCAGCCTTTAAATACAGTGCCTGCATGAGTTTGAAAAGGATGCTGTAACCCTCAATGCGATTTGGCTAATTCATCTATAACAAAGAAGATCCAGTACAGGTTGAATATCCCTAATTGGTAAGTCCAAAATCTGAAACTTGTTGAGTGATCAAATGATGACAATTTCATATCCAACCTCATGTGATGGTTCACAGTCAAAATGCACTAAAAATATTGTATAAAACGATACAAATGTATTTTAGTCTCTCTCTGGGTATGAAGAATACATGAAACATAGGGAAAAAAATCTATCTTCTTGAGCTATTTTATTTTCAGTTTTTAGGCACTTGAAGGCAAAACAAAATTTAATGGATAAAGAGTTAAAAAGTGAAAGCACAGAAACAAACCTATCTGACCTATGATAAAAAGTAAACCCACATACACAGGCACCAAGGATCTGAGTGCAACCGATTATGACTAGTAATAATCAGATACAAACAGATTAGAGATGCATGTGCCAACATCTCAGTGTTAGTAGCAAAAACAATGAGTCTTTCTGTAAAAAACAGTATATTTTAAAATGAAATGCAGATCTTTTTTAAAGGTTAAAAACTTATCCAATTTTATGTCTTATAGGGCTTATATTGTGTGCAATATTGTATAACTGTATTAATTCAACAGCGAACCAAAAAATTTTATAGCCACTTTTGAAAGACATGTATCCTTGCTCTGGAGTGTGTTACTGAATATGTTAAAGCTGCAATGAAATGCTTCTTCTAAAAAAAAAAATTAATATTTGGGGCTGGAGAGATGGCTCAGTGGTTAAGAGCACTGAATGCTCTTACAGAGGACCTGGGTTCGATCCCAGCACCCACATGGCAGCTACGAACTACCCTTAACTACAGTTTCAGGGGAATCTGAGGCCCTCTTCTGACCTCTGCAGAACTGCACAACATGGATACACCCACATACACGCAGACAATATACTCAGACATGTAGAATAAAAATAATAAAATAGCCCAGCCTCATTCACCCTTCCATTTCCCCTGCTGTTCTCTACTCCTAGTTTGGGCCCTGCGCCATTCCTAGTCTTGGGTCCCCAGACACCTGGGGAACCAACACTGCTTCCTGATCTTTTTCACCCAGACCAACTGAGTGCCTTCCTTGGGCCCCAGGAGCACTGCTTCTGGCCCTGGCCCCCCCCTCCCCCCCCTCTCCTCCCCTGGCCCTCCAACCCCCCCCAGCCTCTCTCTGGGGCTGACAGCCTCTTTCTGGGGCTCCGAGGCTTACCTTTCCTCTCCCTGATCCTTTGCATCCAGTACAACCCAGCTACTCAATCCACTCCCTGGGAAATCTTGGGGCTTCTTCCCACCCCATCTGCCTTTGCATCCCTGCATGGCACGGCCACGACCAGGATCTCAGGTCAGTCCAACACCCAAGGTCCTGAGGCCAAAATCATTCTTAGAAGATTCCAGACCTAAGGAGAAAGTCTGAAAACTTCTGACCCACATTGAAACTGGGCCACCGTGGAACTCCTGAAGACAAAAATCAATCTGGCCACGACAATATAAAATCAAAAGAGAGAACCAGAAGCTTAGACGAACCAGCTCTTCATACCCAAAAAGTAAACCACAAAGACA